GTAATCAGCAGTGACCAGGATTTTGGTATTGGATATATTAATGTACTTAATATAAATAGTTTAAATAAATCAATCAATATTATACAGTATTATTTAATTGGTCATTTACATTGTGATGACTAATTAACCTTATAGACCTTTCAAATAGCAAACATCTAGAAGTTCTGTCTGCTTACTGATAATTGAGCAATATCATCACCTTGCCAGCAAAGGTCCATGTAGTCAAAGCTATAGTTTTTCTAGTGGTCGTGTATGGATATGAGAGTTGGACCATAAAGAAAGCTGAGCACTAAAGAATTGATGTTTTTGAGCTGTGGTGTTGGAGAAGACTCTTGAAAGTCCCTTGGACTGCAAGGAGATCAAACAAGTCAATCCTAAGGGAAATCAACCCTGAATATTCACTGGAAGGACTGATGCTGAAACTGAAACTCCAATAATTTAGCTACCTGATGCGAAGAGCCAACTCACTGAAAAAGACCCTGATGCTGGGAAAGATTGAAGGTAGGAGGAGGAGGAGATGATAGATGAGATAGTTGGATGGCATCACTGACTCAATGGGCATAAATTTGAGCAAACTCTAGGAGATGGTGAAGGACAGGGAAGCCTGGCATATTGCAGTCCATGGGGTTACAAAGAGTTGGACACGACTCAGCAACTGAATAACTGGTAACTGATAAAGCACAAAATCAGGTATGGACTACTGATTGCAAATATTCACTAGGTTTCAGGAATGTATCAGCTGAGCTCTCCTTTACCATCCTTCCAGAACTCTGACTAACAACCAAATTTCTGGTTGGTATAAGGCATGTGCAATTCCTCACCAGTTGTGTTCCTTTTGACAATCACACATATGCTTACTCATTTTTTTCATGTCTTTTGACTCTCAGCATTTATTTAATTAGGGTTTCTCTCTCTCCTCTTCTTCACTCTCAAAGGCCCCTTTCTTTTTCCTTCTTTCCAGCTTTTGTCCATTATAACTTGTCTGTGTGTTAATTTACAGAAAAATTATTCATTTCCCTTTGTGTTTTGTATATAGACTCATGTAAAGTCTCTCTTGGGGACTCTGACCCACTGAAAACACACACAATTAGGTCTTAGGTGATCAGCTTAAGAGGTTCAGGGATTAAAAGTAGTGCTCTAGAAAAGTTTCAGTGTTTGATCATTAGGAGAGTTGCTTTAGAGTCTAAATTGCCTGAAAAACGTGCTTTTATGGAAAAGGTTATTATTAATTTTGCCAAACCCAGAAAGTACCACTACACTCAAGAGAAAAAATAAAAGAGCAAATAAATGCTCTTTTACTTCTTAGCATCCTTGAATAAGTAGGTCTCATGCATCTCTAGATATGTCATGCATCTCTGTAGTTTATGCCTTTTTAAATAATGGGGGTCTTTGCTGAAGTGCATAAATACAGCTGGTACCAAGAGGAGTTCATTTTGGATGTTTCAGATTTTGGATATATGAAGAAATGGAGGCTTAGAGAGGTGAAGGCAATTGGTGTGATCTCCTGATCCCCAGAGCAGACATTTAGCAAATATTTATGTGCAGCAAGCATCTAGAGTTTCCCTGGAGACCTGGGTTTGATCCCTGGGTTGGGAAGATCCCCTGGAGAAGGGAATGCTACCCACTCCAGTATTCTTGCCTGGAGAATTGCATGGACAGAGGAGCCCAGTGGGCTACAGTCCATGGGTTGCAAAGAGTCGGACACAACTGAGTGATTAACACTTAGCACAGCAAGTACTTATGGCTGTGTGATTATTACCCACTCAACCTTGAACATCATATAAAAGAAGTATATTTTTAAATATATGTACCAAACTTTAATTTTCATTTCACACTCAAAACTTCTGTACAAAAAGAGGCAAAGCAGGCAAAAAAATGACAATGACTTCAGCAAACAACATATGACACTTTTTAAACAGCTTTGTGTATGCAACAGCCTTTATAGATGTAGTGGGAACATTGGGTTCCAAAGTTTTTGTTTCTTTAAGACAAAATTCCAATGTTTATTATTAACATCTACAAAAATTTGTAGCTGTCTGGGATACAAGATTGAATGAGAAGTCTCTGATGTCTACTGCGCAGTTAGATCCCAAGACTGAGTAAGCTTCATTTTTCTTTTGAGGAAGCATGAAATTATTGTTACTTAAATGTGGTAATGTATTAAAAACCTCAGTTTACCATTAATATCTTGATACAATGGTGATGACTAGGAGCAAAGACTGATGAAGCATGATATTAACTAATAGTTAAAGGATAGTATCCAGGAGTTTCTTTCTGGTTCTTAATTAAAACTCCAGCCCCAATGGGTCACCACAATTCAAAACATTGTCACTTTCTTTTTTTAACTAATGCCTAGTGGCACATAAAAGGTTTCTGAGAACAAAATTATAATGCCAAAGTAGCAGTGCATCTAAGAAATGTAATTTTCACCTTGTCACTTGCCCAAAAATAAATATCTGAGTAATGTAGTACACTTTTATTTGAAAACTATGAGACTGCAAATATGAAATATAGCTAACATTGACATGGATACCGTGGCTAGCACTTTCCCCTGCCCAGTTCATGGGTCCTGGACACACGTGCATGCAGCACACAAAAATGTGATTGTTCAAAGACACCTGAAGGACAGTCTGTTAAAAGAATTTGTCTCCCACTATAGCTCTGGAGTGGACCCAAGGCCCATCACCTGTTAGTGATCACAGACATTCAGTTAACCTGTCCTGCTGCTAACCAGAAGCAATAGTTCAGGCCCTGGGCTTTTGAGAATCCATGTACTGGTGAATCTTGGCTTTGAAACAAGGTGGCCTGACTAATCTGGGGCAGGCCAGCAGCTCTCCCCCCATATGTTTGGTCCCACTTGTGAGAAAGTCGAATTAAAAATTATAAATGTGCTCAACCATTTACTCTGCAAGTCCTTTGTCTGATATGGGAGGAAAATAGACCCCATTACAATAAATACTGAGTACTTTTACATTTCTAGTCTTGAAAGTTGTTGCCCAAAGACAACAGGTGGCTTCCAAGTAAAAGAAGCTGAGTATCTAATGAATTTGTTCACCCAGTGTTATCCCAACTTCTGGATTCCTCTAGGGTTTAAGAATCCCTAGGTTTGGAAAGGTCGTTGAAAGCCATTTAGTGCATTTCTGTTATGATGACAGAACCCTCATCCAACCAGCTGTACTTGTTCAGCTTGAAAAGCTCTAAGGAAAAGGGCTTTTCCTCTCTATATTGACTGACTGACATTTAGATATAGACCAGGGAATCCATTCTGCCACTGAATGGATTTATTAAAAATAAACAAAACCTAAGTATGTCTCCCCTATTCTTAAGAGGACTCAAGGGACTACCACCTGGCCACCAAAATCCAGAAAGTAGGTGTGACAGCTCATTCCTTGGGACAATGACATCAAACTCTGATATACCCAAACCCAACTTCTGGAATTATCATTCCCTGGGCAACTCTCTGCTTCCATCAGAAATAGGCAAGCAATTATACAGGCCAGGTTGAAGGTTTATTTAAAAGTGTCCAATATCACCCTATAGTATGTATGCATAGGCCACGTGGTGAAAAGAAAAGGACATGGAATCAGGAATGAGGCATCCTGGGTTCTAGTCCTACAGAGGGGTGATGCTGTTTGACTTCATTCTCACTGGAGACCAGAATAGAAGATTTCCAAGATTCCACTCTAAACTCTGATCCGCAGACAGAATAACCCTTGTCATATCGCTAATCATCAAGGCAAGGTGGGGTGATGCTTACCCGATTCTATTTACAAACGAAGGATGTGAGAGTCAGTCTTCTTATTGGCTCATGGTCTTATAGTAGTATTGGAGGTTATCTATTTTATTTGCCCATTTTATAGATGAGGACAGTGAGACACACAGAATTTAAGTGAATTTTCCAAGTTCACTCTGAATCAACAAGTCTAGGATTTAATCCCAGTACTCAGGCCCGAGTTTATACATTGTAACAAGCTGGTAGTTAGGTCCTGGAGGAGCTGTCTTTTAAATATCAGATAACCAGGAAATAAAAATCTCCCCTCTAAATTCCCCAAGCTTTCTGATAACTAGTTAAGGTCTAGCTAGATCTCTGCTGCCACATGAATGGTCCCCAGAGGCCATGGCTCCTATTAGGAGGAGTTGTGTGCCTAGCGCTCCACAGACAACTGGAATATTAGCAACCTCACCCACAATTTTAGCCAGAGTTCCACTTCCCTGATCCTGGAGACAGAGGGTTGAAGCAGAGAGATGACTGTCACTGTTGCTTGGATGCCCTTCTTCCCCACCTGTCCCCACTTCCACGACAGTCACCAGCCCAGCCACAAGAGCACATCTCTCTATTCTCCCTTCTCCGCCACAAACTGATGCAAACACGCTGATTTTTTCTTCTTGAAAAATGGAAAGGGAACGTTACTGGGTATAAATCAAAACAGGAAGAGAAAATGCTGATAAATAAAATAGGTGCAAACAGAAAAGTTGCAAGGGTGCTGTGCCATCTGAGGAAAGAGAGGGGGTATGCTGAATTCGACACTGGGGTTTGCATCTCCACGTGCATTTTTCTTTTCTGGGATTCCCCCTCTCTCTCTGTCAGGATAACAGTTGTGTTTCTTGTAGCTGGGCTGACCCAGGAAATCAAACTCTTCATGTTTCTCTAACTGTACTTCCCAGAAAGATCACACATCTAGAATTAAAACATGACCACAAGCTGTTGGGAAGTTCTGATTGTTACAGGCGTAAGGAACTCCAGTAGCAAAGATCAACGTCTCCAAATTCTGCCTTTTGGAGAAGGGGTTTTTGTTTTAGACATCGAAGGTAAGGCTCTCCAGTCAATTTATGATCTCTGGGTTGAGTCAGTCAGGATACAAATTAAGGTCCATATAGTTCAGTGACAAGAAGGGAACGGTTATGTAAATACACAAGTATTAACATCAATCTGTATTAAATTATGTAAACATATACATCTTCTGAGGTCAGTTCAAAGATCCTCTTCACTGAGCAAGGCTTTACTGAAGCATCGCTCGAATCTGTTTGGAAGTCGATTCATCATTCAAGTGCTTTGTAGTGAACCTGGGTGGAGAGAAAATGACGGCAGTCAGCGTGCAAACAGTGTGCAAACAGTGAGCTCTGAGACAGCTTCCATCGGAGTTGTCAGCTCATCTTTAGCTCGGGAGGCACAGCTGATATTTAGAAATCAAACTTGGCATCCGTTCTTCACACAAAGAGTCACACTTCAGTGCCCAACTTAGTCTCAGATTTAATATTCAATCCTTCCTTCTAAAGAAGTTTATATTTTGGTTATTAAACAAACAGATCTTCTACCTAATCAAATAATTACATTAAAGAGATACAAGCAATCTCATTTTCCAGGGAGACAGATTTCAAGTGCTTGAGTGCAGGCTGTTGGCCATCTAGGGCACAGCTCCTGAGTCACAGATATTAAAAGGTCGGTTTGCCCATAACAACACCGTTGTTGTTTAGTTGCTAAATCGTGTGTGACTCTTTTGGCACCCTATGGACTATAGCTCATAGGCTCCTCTGTCCATGGGATTCCCCAGGCAAGGATACTGGAATGGGCTGCCATTTCCTCCACCAGGGATCGAACCCACATCTCCTGCACTGAGTCACCATGACAACATTATCCACCTCTGGTTACTGTTTTCTCCTTTTGTGAGAGTGCTTATCCTCATTACCACCACAAGGGGGCACTAAGGCAGATCCATATAGGAAACAAAAGTGGTGTAATACGTATCCTCACATTAACTGGTGTAGAAATAGGTCATGAAAAGGAAGGGAAAGAGAATGAACGTCTAATAAAATCTTGACCATGTTCTAGGCACTCTGTGGAAGTTTTTATTTCACTCACACTCACACTAACTCTTTGCATGACAGGTTATTACTTCCATTTTACAGATGAGCAAACTGAGATTTAGAGAAGTTAAATGACCCATTCCAGATGACAAATATAACAATGCATGATTTGTGAACAATTTGTGGTTTCTGATGTGGATCCAGGTCTGGCTGCCTCAAAAGTCTGTACCCTCTGACTTCATCACAGTGCCTAGAGGAGACACAAAATGCCAAGAACCCGATGGAACTCGCAGTCTACCACAGTGTCCTGGTCTCCAAGCCTTGCTTAACTGAATGACACTGGACTTCCCTGATGGTCCAGTGGTCAACCTTTCAATGCAAGGGGCGTGGGTTCGATCCCTGGTCGGGTAGTCAATATTCCCCACACACCTCGTGGCCAAAAAACAAAAAACATAAAACAGAAGCAATATTGTCATGAATTTAACACTTAACATGGTCTGCATCAAAAAAAAATCTTAAAAGAAAAATCAGAAGCCAAAAGGTTTCTTAGTGAGTGTGGAAAGTCTGTCTTCTATGAAATGAGCACCAATGGAGAAAAACCTTGGTTTACCCACAGGATCTGAAAGACTCTTAGGTTAATGCCACATCTGTTCTGAAGCATGGTGACTTAGCAGCTGCACCAAAAGGGATCAGCCTCAGTGTATAATTTATTCGTGTCATGTGCATCTGAATTTCTTCCTTTATTAGATGGGGATAATAGATCTTACCACTCTGACTTGTGATGATCAAATGAGAGCATGAAACATACATGTTGTACATCAGAGAGGTTCATTGCTCCATTCCACTTATTGAACATCCACTACATGAATGGTATTGAGAGGAACAGAGGGAAATCAACAACGAGTAAGACAGCAGGGACCATAAACTTTTCCAGATGGCAATCCGATTGGCACAATTCAACAAACTATATAGATGTGTCACAGCTAAACGAATAAGAAGCCTGCCCCTGCAGTGGATTAAGTGCATGTGTCCTTGGGAAGAGCATGCTTTAGCATGGCTCGGGAGCAAAGAGGAAGCTGTCAGGAGCACTGGCCAGAAACAAGGGCATCTAGACAGGGGAGTAGGGTTCTCAGTATTGGCAACTGCACAGATGCCTCATGCAGGGACCTTCAGAACAAACCCACAAACCTGAAATGGATTCCTGAGCCCCTACCCCAGCAATTAAAATTCATCTGGCCTGGGTTGGACCCAAGCACCTGTGTTGGCAAAAGCTATGCACATGTGCAGCCAGGTCTGGGGATCAGGGGTGGAGGGGGAAGTGACACCCAGGAGGTTTCTTCTCCTGACAAGTCCCCACCAACCACAAAGCAGTGTGGCCAGGATCTGGTCTTTGACCTGCAGGGTCACCCAGACCTGGGTTTAATCTTGGCTCAGCCATCTGTCATGAAAACTTTCACCAAGTGAGTTGACTTCTCTAAATTTCAGCTTCTTCTATCTGTGAAAAGGGGATGATAAAAATGGGGCTGACCTCAACATGTGTTAACAGACGTAAGAGGTTAAGCTTGGTGTTTTTAGTTCGGACCCTGTTAGCATCTAATTTAGCAGTGGATCTGAAGGATTGCTGCGTCACAGGGCTGAGGCTCACCTGAGGGCATTCAGCAGCCCCTCCACACTGTCTGGGGCCTGTTCCTTCAAAACCTTTATGCAGCCTTTCATCTAGGAAGAGAAAGAACAAGATTTGGTTAATATCTTAGCAATTCTGCCCATCATAGTATCTGTCCATAACAACATCTACCTGTAATAATACCACATTGTTTGTGCTCATAGAAACCAAACATTGAAATGACCAACAAACCTTCCTCCTTCGTCGGGCCAGGGAGTTGCTTCTGTGGGTTTCTAGAAGCGTCTGTGTCAGTTTTCATATTATACCACAATTGAATGTCTTCTGTGTCTGGCCTTTGGGGACAAAGACTTGAGACTGATTTTCTTGTCTTGGACACCAGAGCCAAGAGCAGAGCTTCTCTAGTCTGTGCTCAGGGGAGGCTGAACAAATGAACTGCAAACGTGATCATTTTACACCATCCTTCTGCCCAGAATGCTTTTTCTCCTTTAGTTGTTTGACTGGTAATCTCTTTAAAAAATTTTTTAGGACTCAGCTAGAGCTCACCAACACCAGGAAGCTTCTTCTGATCTCATTACCTTCACCAGGTAGAAGTATTTGTATCCCTGATAGTACACTGGCATTTCTCAGAGAACCTTAGAGATTTTAGTGCTCAGATTAATTTGTCTCCCTCCCTAGGCCAGGAGAGGGCCAATAAAGGACAATAGTTAGGAATATGAAGCACATGGAGGCAGAATGCCTGGGTTTCATCCATCCTTCTTTGTTTAGCATCTTCATAAACCTGGGCAAGTTTCTTAGTTTTTTGTGTCCTTGCAATATAATTTATTCATCATTTGGGAAATACATGAAAGCTAAATCTGCATCTTAATAGATCACATTATGTTATTCATATATGGGAATTTTTTTCACAAAGGAAGAATCCTTCTGGAAAGAATATAGTCAGTCATTTTAAACTCACAGATATTCATTCACTGACAGTATACAGTACTAAGGACCTCTCTCACAACGGTCACTTAGAAAATGTTCTTGTAGGTTGAAAGCTTTTTCCTAAAAACCTGATAAAGCTTGTTGGATTGATGGGGGCAGCCAGAAGCACAGGGCTGAGAATCATTTGGGGGTATGTTTAGACTCATCCAAAAAGAATGTTGTGGTAAATCAGATGCCTGTCACAGGTGCAGGACGAGGACAAGAACAGGATGAAGAGATTCAGTCCCTCTCCCAAGAGCTCAGAGTCCAGTGGGAGAAGAGAGACAAACAGCTCCTTATCATCCTCTGATATGTGTTCTTGTAAAAAGTACCCGGGGAGAAACAGGGACACAGATTAGAAAAGAGGCAGGCGTGTGGTGTGGTGGACACTCTATGGGAATTTCTAGTCCGATCTCAGGCTGATGAACGCCTGGGGCGTGAATTACAAGACACAGTCAGAGATGCAGTCGGGACCAGATTCAATGTGCGTTTAACAATATGTTCAGGACTCGAGGCCTTGACCTGTGGAAAATATTCCTGATAGGTGTTCAACAATCTAATAATGTGATTAATACTGAAATGGATCTGGGGGGGCAGAGCTGGAGATGGGAGGGCCAGTGGGAGCCCCTGAGAGGGAGGGTGTGAGTGACAGTGTGAGGGAGGGTGTGAGTGAGCGTGCGAGTGATGGTGTGAGGGAGGGTGTGAGTGAGCATGTGAGTGAGCATGTGAGGGAGGGTGTGAGTTACAGTGTGAGGGAGGGTGTGAGTGAGCATGTGAGGGAGGGTGTGAGTGAGCGTGTGAGGGAGAGTGTGAGTGAGCATGTGAGGGAGAGTGTGTGTGAGCATGTGAGGGAGGGTGTGAGTGAGCATGTGAGTGATGGTGTGAGTGAGGGTGTGAGTGAGCATGTGAGGGAGGGTGTGTGTGAGCATGTGAGGGAGGGGGTGAGTGAGCATGTGAGTGATGGTGTGAGTGAGCATGTGAGGGAGGGAGTGAGTGAGCGTGTGAGTGATGGTGTGAGTGAGCGTGTGAGTGAGCATGTGAGGGAGAGTGTGAGGGAGCATGTGAGGGAGGGTGTGAGTGAGCATGTGAGTGATGGTGTGAGTGAGCGTGTGAGGGAGAGTGTGAGTGAGCATGTGAGGGAGAGTGTGAGTGAGCATGTGAGGGAGGGTGTGAGTGAGCGTGTGAGTGATGGTGTGAGTGAGCGTGTGAGGGAGGGTGTGAGTGAGCATGTGAGGGAGGGTGTGAGTGAGCGTGTGAGTGATGGTGTGAGTGAGCGTGTGAGGGAGAGTGTGAGTGAGCATGTGAGGGAGGGTGTGAGTGAGCATGTGAGTGATGGTGTGAGGGAGGGAGTGAGCGAGCATGTGAGTGATGGTGTGAGTGAGCGTGTGAGGGAGAGTGTGAGTGAGCATGTGAGGGAGAGTGTGAGTGAGCATGTGAGGGAGGGTGTGAGTGAGCGTGTGAGTGATGGTATGAGTGAGCGTGTGAGGGAGGGTGTGAGTGAGCATGTGAGGGAGGGTGTGAGTGAGCATGTGAGTGATGGTGTGAGTGAGCGTGTGAGGGAGAGTGTGAGTGAGCATGTGAGGGAGGGTGTGAGTGAGCATGTGAGTGAGGGTGTGAGTGAGCATGTGAGGGAGGGTGTGTGTGAGCATGTGAGGGAGGGTGTGAGTGAGCGTGTGAGTGATGGTGTGAGTGAGCGTGTGAGGGAGGGTGTGAGTGAGCATGTGAGGGAGGGTGTGAGTGAGCGTGTGAGTGATGGTGTGAGTGAGCGTGTGAGGGAGAGTGTGAGTGAGCATGTGAGGGAGGGTGTGAGTGAGCATGTGAGTGATGGTGTGAGTGAGCATGTGAGTGACAGTGTGAGGGAGGGTGTGAGTGAGCATGTGAGTGATGATGTGAGTGAGGGTGTGAGTGAGCATGTGAGGGAGGGTGTGTGTGAGCATGTGAGGGAGGGTGTGAGTGAGCGTGTGAGTGATGGTGTGAGTGAGCGTGTGAGTGACAGTGTGAGGGAGGGTGGAGTGACAGTGTGAGGGAGGGTGTGTGTGAGCATGTGAGGGAGGGTGTGAGTGAGCGTGTGAGTGATGGTGTGAGTGACAGTGTGAGGGAGGGTGTGAGTGAGCATGTGAGGGAGGGTGTGAGGGAGGGTGTGAGTGACAGTGTGAGGGAGGGTGTGTGGGAGCATGTGAGGGAGGGTGTGAGTGAGCGTGTGAGTGATGGTGTGAGTGAGCATGTGAGTGACAGTGTGAGGGAGGGTGTGAGTGAGCATGTGAGTGATGGTGTGAGTGAGGGTGTGAGTGACAGTGTGAGGGAGGGTGTGTGTGAGCATGTGAGGGAGGGTGTGAGTGAGCGTGTGAGTGATGGTGTGAGTGACAGTGTGAGGGAGGGTGTGAGTGAGCATGTGAGGGAGGGTGTGAGTGACAGTGTGAGGGAGGGTGTGTGTGAGCATGTGAGGGAGGGTGTGAGTGAGCGTGTGAGTGATGGTGTGAGTGACAGTGTGAGGGAGGGTGTGAGTGAGCATGTGAGGGAGGGTGTGAGGGAGGGTGTGAGTGACAGTGTGAGGGAGGGTGTGTGGGAGCATGTGAGGGAGGGTGTGAGTGAGCGTGTGAGTGATGGTGTGAGTGAGCATGTGAGTGACAGTGTGAGGGAGGGTGTGAGTGAGCATGTGAGTGATGGTGTGAGTGAGGGTGTGAGTGACAGTGTGAGGGAGGGTGTGTGTGAGCATGTGAGGGAGGGTGTGAGTGAGCGTGTGAGGGAGGGTGTGAGTGAGCATGTGAGTGACAGTGTGAGGGAGGGTGTGAGTGAGCGTGTGAGTGATGGTGTGAGTGAGGGTGTGAGTGACAGTGTGAGGGAGGGTGTGTGTGAGCATGTGAGGGAGGGTGTGAGTGAGCGTGTGAGGGAGGGTGTGAGTGAGCATGTGAGTGACAGTGTGAGGGAGGGTGTGAGTGAGCGTGTGAGAGCAGCAGTAGACACAGAGGGTCAGGGCGAGATGAGAGGACGCGCTGAGGTCCAGGCCACAGGACTCGGGTGTCTGAGGAGGTGTGACGGTGAAGAGTGAACAAGATTGTTCCTAGGTTCTGGGGAAAAAACCCCAGGTTTGGCGTTGACCCCAAGTTGAAAGGAAGTGAAATACCTGAGACAGGAGCACAAGAGGAGGAGCAGGTCTGTGTGAAAGTGAGAACCTTTGATTTGAGGCCGGCTGTACCTCAGGTGTCCAGAGGAGGGGGGGGTCTGGGATTCTGGGTGAGGTGTGGGCTCGAGACTGGGCTCAAAGGGTGACTGTATTGGATCGCTCCGTGTAGTTTTAAGGAAATCAGTTGAAAATGCCACCTCACTCCTGCCTGCATCCCGGACACCCATTTACAGCATCTGTTCTCTAAATGACGAACCTCCCTCTGGGCCGCGATGACTGCTGGGATGAATCCTCTGCCTGGAGCACTCTTCTCTCCATCCACTCGCTAAGATCCCCCGGATCCACCTGAAACATCGCCCTCTCTCTCTGCCTCTCTACAGAAGGAATTTCTCCCTCATCTGGGTGTCTAGAGCTCAGCACTTCCATTTTGGGCTCCAGAACACATTCTCTGTAAGGGCAGGGGACAGGATCTACTTCATTATCTGCTTCTTCATAGTTGATGCTGATACCCTGTTTATAAACCCTGTGCCTGTAACTGCTGACTTCGAAGCAGACTGATATCCGGAAGGAGAGCATTTATGTCATCAGAGAAAAATGGCCCATTATATAGCATACATACTGTGCTCTGTAAATCTGAAACTGTCTTAGAGACATGGGTGAGCTTCAATACAAGCAACCCGTTCTTAGTGAGACCGACATGAACAAACAGACTTCATCATGCCTGGGGAGGGTTAGAACTAACATCATATAATGTTTACAGCCTCCGCAGAAAGAGTCAGTGAGTGACAAGTAAGGACGAGCTTTTTTTAAAGGTTAGGGCTACAAGACATAATGGTACTCAGTGTATTTTTAATTATTGACTCTCTGACAAGTTAACAAATGGCTGTGGTAAATGAGAATGTCCTATGAGTACTGGGTAATAAATTCAATCCATATTCAAATGATATTCATGGGTTATTAATAGAGCTATTTATGCTCAATCTATAGCATGAAAATGTTAAAGCCTCACGAAGAATACAATAAAATATTTATTGGTATGGGAAAAACTCGGTAATATACTGTTATGCAAATTAAATACGTTTTTAAATAGCAATTATAGCAGGGTGCTAATCTGTTAAGTATTACTACATACACACAGACACCCAAACATCTATATAAAATGAAGGGACAAACACATGTGACTTATTGATGGTGGTCACCTGTCCATGGTGAGGTTACCCAGATATGTTTAATTTTCTGTATATTGACTTCCTTTATTTTCCCCAAATTTTTATATAAATATTTATTTTCTTGAGAAATAAAAACAATTATATTAAAAATAAGAAAGACTCTATGGAGAACCATGGCTAGCTATGCTAGGAAGTCAGAACCTCAAAATGAGTAAACCGAGTTGCATTATGAATTGATATATTTTCTTATACTCTTCAGACTCACAGCCCCTCTGGGCGTCTGGACCTTCTGTCTGCACAGAACTAAAGCATCAGAGATGCTCTTGTGTATGCATGAATGAGTCTAGAGTGTGCATGCCCCTACTTAGCCATGTCAGAATAAGTTAGTACCAAAGGTCCTATTGTGTGCTTAGAAGGCTTTAAATTAATACAGGGATACACTACTGGGTGCTGCTGCAGGCAAACACTGGGCTGAGAGGACTGTCTTTATCCTACAATCAACAGGAAATCACTTGCACACCACTATCATTTGTTTTCCAATCCTATTCATTCACTCAGCAAAAATTTTATGGAGCGTCTACTGAGCACCATGCTCTATAGACCAAAGACACTGTCAGGCAATGGAGTGGGCATCAGGTGTATAGATCTTGGTCTCTGCTCTTGCCAACAAACTCAGAATCTGTGCTTGTTTAGTTGCCAAGTCATGTCCAACTGTTTGTGACCCCCTGGACTACAGCCCACCAGGCTCCCTGTCCATGGGATTTCCCAGGCAAGAATACTGGAGTGGGTTGCCATTTCCTTCTCCAGGGGATCTTCCTGACCCAGGGATTGAACCTGCGTCTCCTGCATTGCAGGCAGATGCTTTATTGCTGAGCCACCAGGGAAGCCCCAGAGTCTGTCAGAAAATCCAAAATGGTGGGAACTTTGGGGCCGGAAGAGAAGCAAGGCTCTGCTCCACGCAGGGAGCGGGAGACATGCTCCACATGAGGGGACATGTGAGGAGTGTCTTAAAGGAACCCTCCCCCAGTGGAGAAGAGGGCGGGCACTCTGGGTAGGGCTCAAGCATAGTCCAAGGACAAGAAAAAGCATGAGAATCAGGTAGTACCATCTGCCAGGCTATGGGACAGGAAGTCGGAATGTTGTTTGGGATTTGACCATGGTGTTTTGTAATCCAGTTATCTCCTGATGCTTTTCACATTGAGACACATATATACAAATAAACATGTATATGGCACATGGGTAAGCTGAAGGGGCAGCTAGCAGCTAAGTGACTGTTCACCCCTCAGCCCCTCTACAGGCTGAGGGAATCAGCATCTCCACTCTTCTTCTGTGCCTTTGAGGTTGAATGCATTTGCTGTAAGCCCGTGAACAGGACTGGACTTCTTGCTAAGAGGAGAGATGCCTTGATGGATTTGCAACCGGGAGAACTCACTCATGGGCAGTTGGTGGGGGGTGGATGGAGGGGAGGGAGAGAGAGAAGCAAGGTGTGTTTGGTGACATTCACGAGACCCTATTGGGAAATCACCTATCATAACTATTCTTACATCGATCTTGGATGTCTTGCAGAAAGCTCCTACAGGGTGCACGTGGTCGTAGAGGATGATGACCCCCACCATGACCCTCATGCAGAACATCAGCGTTTCTTCACTGGTAAACCTACTCCTGTATTCCCTGGAAGAGACGAGAAATGGCAGAGGTGTCACTTCCATGACAGAATGTGTTTGTTTTTGGCTCCACAACTGGCTAGTTTAGCCTCCTACAGTCCTCTCCTGAGAACAATCCTAGACCTGCAAGAAGCAGGTTAATAAGCTCTTAAAGAAACTGGCGATGATAATTCTCCTTGAATCTATCCAACCAGTGTGAAAACAAGGTAAATTGGAGGGCAGTAAATTCTTTTCTCTTCTGCCCTCAGCAAGCCAGCTCATCACGTACCTAACTCCCCCGCCCATTAATCATGAATATTTTATAGCAGGTTTCTCTGGCTGTCCTAGATTATAGAGAATAATGGCTTTATTATGGAGAAAATGAATCAAGCTCATTTCTATAGAGCAGCTACTGCATCGCCAGTCAGGGTAACTTCCTTTGTTAAGATACAGGCTGCAGATTGAATTAGATTGGCAAAGATACCTAAAAGAGATTGCACACCACTGATTGGGCTGAGAGTATTTGTGGAGCTTGAGTTCTGTTCACTTACCTTGACAGGGTCATTGATGATTCAGATAATTCAGGCCAATTCTAGAGGCTTTCTTAACATCAACTTCATTCTGACTTGGCCCCACAATGATGATGATTACTATTTCCATCTTGGAATAAATATTAACTTAACTATAAATGAAATATCTGAAAGGAATGCCATCTTACATTTGAACAGAACATCAAATTTTAGAAGGCATTTTTGATGCCTTTGGCACTCCCAAACTTTCTGCCTCGTAGATGGCATTATGATGATCTCATCAGGTAAGTAAACCAAGGTCCAAACAGGTCAGACCACTTGTCAATGGGCACAGAAGGGGCTACAAAATAAATAGAATAAGGGGAACCTTGACACTGAAGTGAAGATTTCCTCATTACCATACTGCCTCACCTCAACAACTCAAACATTTTTTAAATCTAGCAACTAATTTAAGTACAAAGAAACTGCCACATGCATGAAAGAGAGATTTTCATTATCATTTTTACAATAGTCTTACCTCTTCTAATCTTGGTTTTAAATATTCTCTCAAATCTTTTCTCCAACATACTTATAACAATACCCAGTCATTTAACTTAATCCACCATTTTATCTGCATACAACTTCTCCTGCATCTTTGATTCGAGTTTTGATTCTGCCATCTAACAAGCCATGTGATCTTTGGGAAGATGTCAGTTAACCAATTTCTGCCTCATCTTCTTTAGCTTTAAGATGGGGATAACTACACCTAGAGCCAGAGTTCTTTATGAAATTAATTCAGTTAATATATAAGGAAATGTTGACGTGCTGACCCACACGTTAGAAGCTGTCATCACCACCATCATCATTGTTACAGAGATACGTGAATTTTTGACATGGCTACACCTCTGATTTAACTTACGGAGTTTCCAGCATGACTTTACAAACACTTGTCATCGTACTGAGGCAGTCTGTGGTGTTCTCTATTGGCAGGGTTTTGTTCTAAACGGGAGACACAAAGGGTGTTAGCCTGTTAGCAGCTTTTATGCACAACCGGGCAGAAGGCACTTTGTTGGTCAACATCACTTACTTCGGAGACAAAGTGCATGGTGGCGTTGCTGAGGGTTTTCAGCATCGGCGTGGCTTCTGCATAGAACAGGGACATTCGATTTGCCATCTCATTGTTGACTTCATTCTCAATGTCTAGCTGATGAAAAGAAGATGAGAAGATGCGAGTGATAAAGAGATGGTCAACATCTCAAATGGTGTCCTCCGGAAAATGAATCACAAAGGCTCTGTCTTCTCCCTGTGCCCCTCCTGATGCAGAAATTAAAAGAGATTTGGAACCTGGGGCTGTCGACCCAGGAGATCCAGGGACTCACATGCATGTTGTTGATGCGATTGCGACTGATGGTCCTTCTGTAGTAGCTGAAGTCATTCTGAATAGCTGGGTTCCTCATCTGAAGTTCAGAAAAGAGGAAAGAAGGTCATTTCTCAGCATCAGAGGGGGGTTACGCACCTCAAGTCCAGGCACTACATTTTGCACAGATACCAGGACTTCTCTTTGTTACCCAAGAGTCAAAATAACTTTGGGTTAAAAATAAACTCAGAGCTTCATTATTTAAGAATACACCCTATTTTTACCCTAGGCTAGATTTTAGGGAAAGCACACTGGCTTCCAAAGAGGAATAGACACTTGAGATGTTTTCTCTGGTTGCATTTGGCAGATTTTGAATTTCCACATACAAACCACCATTGTAAATCACTTTGACCACAAGGAGTGTGAATTCTCACCACATCACAGGTCTCTCGAGGAAAGGAGCTACTTCCCTAGTCTTTTTCCCCCACCCCACAGCCCTGCAAAGCACCTGGACATGCAGGTGCTCAGTACGAATCTGTTAAATTGTCCAAGCACACATGGCCTAACCTTCAGCTCATCGAATCGAAGGGTGAAATGCAGAATTTCCGCAAATTCCTTGGCCAGGGCCTGCTCCCGCTCCAGGTGCTGGGTTGGTGTGTAGGGTGGACAGGTCAGAGATTCCAATAAACTCTGAAGAGCTTTTTCTAAAAGTCAAAGGGATACATACATATTTGAGGTGGACCACAGAGATTTTTCAAAAAGCCCAATTTGCAGCCCCAGTTGACATTCTGAGATAACCTGTGTGAGTCTTTCCTCTCCACCTTTCCCCCCCAAGAACAGTGTGAAATGTGATGTGTGTGGATAAGGAGGAAAAGGAACCCCCCTGCCCTTCATGCCTGAGAAGGCTGCCTCCACTGCAGAACTGACCCATCGCCCCAAAGCTCAGCTGGACCCTCCCATGTTCTGTTGTCCCAAATCCTAACACTGTAGAAAACCACAAATAGGATCATGTGCATGAGACAGCCATCTATGACCTAGGATGAGATGAGGTGGCCCTGAATGCATGGGTTAAATTGCTTGCTTTGCAGGGAGAGACTTGCGGTCCACACCAGCCCTTCTCTGCAATGACACTCTTAGCAAATCCCAGGAATATTTTTCTACAAACCTGCTGCCATATCTACCTCCATTACTATCCTGAAAACAGTCTCATTACTCTCACCTGTTTCTAAGCCTTCCTTCCTGCTTTTTCTTCAATATATTTTTCTTGGCATCAAGTCATTTTATCAATCCTCTAGAGAAAAGGTAGGCAAACTATGGCCCACAGGCTAAATTTGGTCCATAGTCGCTTTTTTTGCAAATAAAGTTTTATTAAACACAGCCATGCTTCATTGATATTTTCATTCTGTGCCACAATGGCAGGGTTGAGTGGCTGTAACAATGATAGGATAGCCCACAAGCCTAAAATATTTATTATCTGGCTCTTTATAGAAGGGTTCGCTAGTGCTGACTTTGTCATCCCTAGAGGCCTTTTACAGCTTCTTTCTGAGGACATCACTAGCATTTTCTATCTACAGAAACACACTGTCTTCTGAGGCAGCCCGCTTAATGGTGGATCTTTTTCCGTCTGCTGAGCTGACACTTGACTCCTTCTGATTTCAGTTCAAGGGGTCTAGACACACACTTTGAGGAAACTGAGAAGTCGATCCTTCTTCAACCCGAGAGTCTTCAGGAGCTCTTCCTGAAAAACTGGCTCAGTTCATTGAACTATTCCCTTGGAGTCTCAGTTTCAAGTTCTCTCAAAATCATGGCTATTATTCCCCCAGGGTACTTCAATTTCTCTGTTTAATTCTTAAAATGTGGTACCCACTTATGGGCAGAAGTAGAATAAAACATGACCACACACTTCCTAAAGGAAATCAACCCTGAATACTCATTGGAAGGACTGATACTGAAGCTGAAGCTCCAATACTTTGGCCATCTGATGCAAAGAGCCGACTCCTTGGAAAAGACCCTGATGCTGGGAAAGGTTGAAGGCAAGAGGAGAAGGGGATGACAGAGGATGAAATAGGTGAATGGCATCACCAACTCAATGGACATGAGTCTGAGCAAACTACAGGAGACAATGAAGGACAGGGAAGCCTGGTGTGCTGCAGTCCAGGGTGTCGCAGAGACTAGGACATGACTGAATGACTGAACAACAATGAAACCCCCTTCCTCATTCTAGACATATCATACATTTTAACCAGTGAAAGCTCAGATAGCTTTACCGTTGGGGGAAGGGTTATATCATATCGGTGGTCACATGGAGCCTACTGTCAACCAGACTTGATTTTACTCTGACCTCTGTAAAGCCATCCTGTACCTGCACTGAGTTTTTTTTTTTTTAAGCTTAAGAACAGAACATTGTATTTGTATTTTGCTATATTATCGGGTTGGCCAAAAAGTTTGTTTGGGTTTTTCTGTGCTGTCATCTGGAAAATCCAAATTAACTTTTTTTGGCCAACCAAATAAATTTAACACATGATTTCAGCCAACCAACATCTTTTTGGGTTAGCAGGTAACATGGGTTTTCCAACTTCTCTGTCCTTTGGAAATGTGATGAGACAGGGTAATACTGTTTAGAGTAGGACTTAGCTGAGAACAAAACCAAAGGGAGACCCACTAGTAAAGACACTCGAAACAGGCCAATAAATGCAGGGGAAGAAACTCTGAGGCATGCTGTCAGAAATTGACATGACCACTGTTTTTGTATCTGAGTGGCCTCTGATGATGCACAACAGTGGATGTGGGGCAGTTTCCAACCCCCCGAGCTTTTCCTGCTACTTTCTCAAACACCATCACAGAACTTTACAAGAGGGACATGAAAAGCATAAATACATACTCACCTAGCCTGATGGAAAACTCATAAAATCTCTTCAGTCTCACAACCAAAGGACACACTGCATTCCAAGCTTTTTCCTGAAGCTGAATGTCATTGGGATTTTGGATGGCCTGCCAAAACATGATGGAATTGTCTGCTTAAAAGGAAGCGGTAGGCTCCACGTCAAAATGACTTAAGATTGAGAAAGAATTTGAGTTAAAAAAAAAAATTCCTGCTGTCTTTTGCTAATGTGTACTGCCTCAATCAGTTCATCATGGAAGTGTTGTCCAAGATGCTCAATTAGGATGATGATTTTAGCACTTGAATATAATGCAAATGGCTCAACAATTAGACACCATGTCATTTGACTTGCTTCTCATATTGTCAATGCAAAAAAAAAAATGCATGTCTAATTGGAAGCAATTCAGATCTTCTCCATGACCATTTGATTCTTCTAAAGTAGAGCTAGTGCTCATTATGAAGTACAGATTCTGTAGATGTTTTCCTTTCTCTATAGTATGTATTACATTCCTGACAGTCTGAGATAGTACCTAAATTACCTAAATTAAATGGTGACCCTTAAGTAGAAAAATAACCTCTTAATAGGCTGCTACTTTCTGTGAAAGGCTGTTTTGCCTGGGTTTCAGCAGTTTGGGGATTATGATGCTAGCGGCATTTTATTGCTGTTGCTATGTCTTGTTTTTTGTTTTTTTCCAGAAAATGGTGATGGCAATGTGTGTGCTGATACTTCCACAAAACTAATTATTTCAAACAAAAGGAGTGTGAGGTTTCTTGCCTTGAAGGCATGACAAGCTCTCAAAAGCCACACTGCCAATTTTTTTCTGTTTTGGTCACTGTTCTCTTTTTCCTGCACTTATTATTTTGATCTTACACGTCATTTCAGGATGACAGACAAGCAGGCTCCTTAAGGGAGGTTGTTTATGTCTCTTGTTTGTGATAGTCATGAAACCTGCCAAAAATCATTACAAAATGTTGGAAAGTTCACATACACCCAGACCTCATGACTCATATTTCAACTACCGTTCACAGATTTCATATGTATGTTTCTCTTATATGAAGCAACATATTGACAAATTATTGTTTAAATGTGAGTCTTGCAATTTCAAACGTATGTCAGAGGAGAGAATGGCTTGCACTTTACATGGTCCACAGCACTATGTGCTCAGATCAGTGGATTCGAATAAAAGGGACCATTCATACATTTTTGAAGGACACATTACCCTCCTTGTTTCCTGGTACGCTAGGAAAAACTAGGGCTAGTACTTAATCTTGGCTGTGTGTGTGTGCGTGTGTGGGTTTCCCTTCTCCACCAAGGGCGTTGTCAGCTTAGTGTTATTATTGGCATACATCTCGGATCTCTGGCCCCGCGCCCTTGTACGCCTGCAGGTCTGCAAGGATGCTCTCGGAATCCTGAAGCACGGCGCTGATCTGGTTCCATATTTCCCTCTCTCCTTCTGTGGGCTGGGCATCTAGGCAGACAGGAAACCAAGAGACACAGAGGCTTGTGTTTATAAACAGCCAAGAGGCTCGGCATTCAATTCTACCCGCTAGACAATCCTATGTGACTCTGGCAGGCATGGTATTTCCTCTTTAACATAATAAGGTGCTAAGAAATGAAAACTAACAGAACTTCTGGCCATTACTCAGTTCAAAATACTTACAAATATTTCACTCACATTTAACAAAGCATGTTGGAATCATTGTGCGTGCGCAGTCGCTCGGTTGTATCTGATTCTTTGAGACCTCACGGACTGTAGCCCACCAGGCTCCTCTGTCCATGTGATTTCCCAGGCAAGCATACTAGAATGGCTTGCCATTTCCTTCTCCAGGGGATCTTCCTGACTCAGAGATCAAGCCCATGTCTCCTGCAGTGCAGGTGGATTCTTTACTACTGAGCCATCTAAGAAGCCCATGGAATCATTGTAGGCACCCCTTTATTTGTATAGATCACTTTTTTTTGTTGTTGGACATATACTATGTGTCAAGTGGTACACTGGGTGATAGGAAGAATAAACATTACCTTTTGGGATCCAATTCTAATATTTAATAGAAGCTATTGTGACTGAAAATCTATGAATCTGAGTCTAGATGGGAAAGTAGTCCCACTTATATTTCCATACTAAAAAAAACTTAAGATTTTCCATAGTTAATCCTTCAGAGCTATCTATGGCATAGATATATCTTTGCAGAACACAATGATCTGTAGAAAGCAATGGAGTTCCTTTTTGAACATGAACTCAAGAAGTGCAGAGAGTTCATTTTAAAGACTCCTATACTGTTCATCTTTGGTCTTAACCATGAAACTTATCCACAAAAATAAGTAATGCATTTAAACTTAAACACTGAAGAACAAATTCTAACAGTCACAGAGACATTCACTTAGTTCCTCAATGAATTCTGACTTGTTTACATTCCTGGAGCCAATGTATGTTCTTGCCTGCAGGAGTATTTTGTGAGGGCTGGTGGGTGGAAGTTGAATAGTGGTAAAGATAGGGTTTTATTTATTTCACAATGCCTATAAAATAGGTTTCTTGCCTGGGCTAGTTAGGAAATTAATCTCCATCTAAAACAAGGGCATTGCTAATTCAGGAAGAGGACAGATGTCATCTCCTAAAATCTGTTTTCAAAAATCCAAGTCCTAAGGGACTGAGTTCTCCCAGCAGACTCCACTAATGAAAGGGTACCTGCATGCACCCTCAGTCACTTCAGTCGTGTCCCACTCTTTGCAACCCTATGGACTGTGGCCCGCCAGGCTCCTCTGTCTATGGGGTTCTCCAGCCCAGGCCTGGAGTGGGCTGCCATGCCCTCCTCTAGGGGCTCTTCTGAAGCAAGATTCAAACTCGCATCTCCTGCATTACAGGCTCATTTTCTTCCATAATTGGTTAGGCTTATTGCAAGTCCCAGGCTTTTCTGCTTTTCTCTGTCAGGGAACTGAATCACCTTCTCTTCCAGCTATTAATTAAGCCCTTGGTGTTGGCTGCACAGTCCCTGGCCTCTGGGCCAGGTTGCTTCAAGAGTCTAGAGGACTCAAATCACAAATGGCATAAACTTCTGAGACAGACAGTACCAGCTGGGAGAAGCCCTAATCTGTCTGTCTCGGTTTTCAAATGGGAAAAAGACCATGTAACCCTAAGTGACATGTGGTCTTGGCCCGTATCCCTAAGTTCATAATTCACCCCACTTTGATCCCCCAGCTAAAAGAAGAGACAGGACTAACAAGTGAGAATCTGATCCACAAGACTGTAAGACTCAGACCTTATTTGTCTCACTTGACACTGTATCTCCAGGATCTAACACAGTGCCTGGCACCCAGTAATGGCAGTAGAAAAATGGGCTGAATGATTGAAACAGAGTCAGAGCTATGGCTTTTAAAGTAGTCATGTACAGATGTGAGAGTTGGACCATAAAGCAGGATGAGTGTCAAAGAACTGAGGCTTTCAAACCGTGGTGTGGAGAAGACTCTGAGAGCCCCTTGGACTACAAGAAGATCAAACCAGTTAATCCTAAAGGAAAATCAAACCTAAACATTCAATGGAAGGACTGACACTAAAGCTGAAGCATCAATACTTCAGCTATCTGATGCAAAGATCCTGATGATGGGAAAGACTGAAGGCAAAAGGAGAGGGGGCGATAGAGAATGAGACGGTGAGATAGCATCACTGACTCAGTGGACATGACTTTGAGCAAACTCTGGAAGATAGGGAAGGACACGGAAGCCTGGCTTGCTGCAGTCCATGGGGTTGCAAAAACTCAGACACAACTTAGCAACTGAACAGCAATTCATATTGTTTTGTGATGGTTTTCCTGCTTGTCTTTGAACACCAAGCTATCTGAAGACAGGGCCTGTATTCTTGTCCTCAGTGATCCCATATGCCCTACCCATTGGAGAAACTTACTAAACGTGTCATGTCTCAATGTATAAATGATGAAACTGACCATATGACGGAGAACATGGGTGTTGAGAAGTGGTGAAAAAATACAGATCTTACTACTTCCAGATCCTCTCCTCTGTCTTGTCTCCTGAAACGGTTTTACCACTGTTGCATGTCTCACTATCATCATGAAGATAATATGCATTTACCTACAATCAGACTGGCTATTCACACTTTAGTTAACATGTTTTTAAATCCTCCATCATTTATCTATGGCCTCAATGCTTCCTCAGTGTGGTTAACATCCTAATAGAATATTTGATTAGTGCAAAACTGCATTAATGTTACTCTCCTAATTCTAAAGCTGCTATTTTACTTTCTGGAATAGTCCTTTGAGAGACTTTGGGGTCTGCACTTTTGGCCTCCTCCAAATTGAGATTCAGTTGGTCACCATGCTTTTAAAATGTATTGTGTCTTCAGATGTCAAGGAGAGACATCTTGAAAAAGACCCAGAAGAATTAGTGATTAGAAAGGTTGCTATTTAACCTATCAGCAACCTCCTAGAGCATTTGCTGAGTGAACAGGAACTCTGAATGAAGGCTTCTGTTTTTCTGTTTTTAACACAAAGATTGATCTTAAGTCAAAGGTACATACACGCACTAAAAATAATGATGATGACGGAAGTGGGTCTCTGTTTCCAGTTGTGGCCAGTGAATTGTTTAGTGACGTATCTTCTAAGAATCACATTCTAAATTCCTAATCATCACCAGTTATTTCATTGAAATTGAGGAAAATGGTTACAGAAAGCTGGACTGTTCCTGTCTAACAATGAAGCTGTTAAAAGTGCCTGTGATTTACACAGGCAATTTCAGAAACCAACACTTCTAGGAGCCCTGGAACAAGCCTCTCCAGGCCTTTCTCCAGGCAATGATTTAAACCCCTATTCTAGACTTGCTGTTGTGGAAAGAATGAAAATGCATCATGTGCCCTGTGACCTTGAATACATACATTTATTGTCAAGAATTTGCTGAATTCCAAGTGCCTAGAATTTTTAATGGAAAAAGCACCACCTTATCAATTAAGAAAGTTCAACAGTATTCATTCTGTTTATAGGGGACCTATTTATCCTCCTTTGACTCAATTTCCCAGTGACAGTGGATACTAACTGTCGGCATTTTAGAGTCACCGGGGTCAGGGGGCGGTTTCGTGCTGAAGGCCTGTGGTATTTACTGAGAGCAGAATTCTCGGCATTCCACTGTGCCGATGCAAAGCAAGGTGGCCCCCAGCTTTGTCAGAAGCAAACATCTTCGGTGAACATACCCCAGGGCACAGGCGGCAGGGCTCAACCCTGAGCAAGACTGTCAAATCAAAGGGTTCTTATCTTTGTAAATCAGCCAAGGATGCACTCTGTCTCCACAAGCCCCGGGAACACACACACACCTACCCCTAAAGACCTATTCAAGGCTGTGTGGAAAAGCTGACAGAGAATCAAACAAATTAACTGAAGAAAATGTGAATGGGAGACGATTTATTTGGAGATGTCTTTGGCTTTGAAGGAAGCCCTGGCGTTTCATCAGTAGGATACATCCCTATCTCTGCACCTACCAGCTGTTGTATAAACACCAAAGAAAGGCAGAGCAGGAAGGGTTCGCCAAGCCATAAATTAAATCTCCAGCTCTTCTTCTCCACCCACTTACTCATTTCACCCTTCACCCCTTCAGGATAAACTAAGAAGCGTAATAACTACCTAATATTAACAATATACATGTGTGTGTGTGTTAGTCTTTCAGTCAGGTCAACGGTTTAAGATCCCGTGGACTGTAATCCACCAGGTTCCTCTGTGCACGGGATTCTCCAGGCAAGAACACTGATGTGGGTTGTCATTCCCTTCTCCAGGGGATTTTTCTGACCCAGGGATTGAACCTGGGTCTCCTGCATTGCAGGCAGATTCTTTACCATCTGAGCCACCAGGGAAGCCCTGATATGAACACTGGGGGATGTAAAAATAGAAATGATTTATAGCACGATACTAACCGCTTACAAAAAAACAATCTACAATTGCAAAGGTCTGTCAGAAGATGTAAGTGTGATGGGACTGACATTATTTATTTGTACAGGAACATCAGTCATCCTATGCCAGAGCCCTTTCCCAAGGGACAGTCAGATGAGGGACTGCAAAAAGCAGGGAGGTTTAAGACACTTGAAGGCTTGTTTATTTCACATGCTGAGGCATCCCTGTGAAGTCATGGGGGGGGGGAGAGAGAGCTCCAGGGATGTAATTTTTGAAGAACCATATCCTATCATAAGTTTTCACTCACTAAATATGAGACCTCAGGGCAAGCCAATTTATCTCTCTTGGTCTCAGATGAATTCTTGGTAGAGGGAGGGGAGCTAGCAAGAGCAGCATCTCCTCCCTATATGGTCCTGTGGGGGTCTGTGACGTGTAGGATCATAAAGAGGATGTTGACAGCTGAAAAGCACTTAAAAAGCGAAAGTGCTAGAAACTGAAAGAAACTGAATGAATCCCTGCCTTGACATAAACAAATTGCTTCCCAGGTCTGTTCTGTTCCTTGGCTTTTTGTTTGTTTTAGTTTCAT